CTTTTAATCCCTTCTTGGGGGGGTCCCCACCCCAGACACGAGCCAGGACTTAACCCAACAGGCGGAGTTTGCCAACCTTCAAAGTGAGCAGAAAAAAAACAACCTGCCTATTTTAGGCTATCTGTACCGGTTGGATTGCAGCCTGCGTTGCTGACAGGGCAGGTGGGAAAATCCCTTCGCATTCTCGCTTCCGCAGGCCTAAAAAAGACGCGTCTGAGAACATCCGAGACATGGAACTGGGAGAGGAATGGCAGGACGACGGATTCCCGCGGTAAGGGGGGACTCCATCTTCAAGAGCAGTCTACCCTTGAGTACCCCCAAAAAAAGGAGGATTCAGGCAGGCGTCTCAATTTTTTCTTTTCAAATCCCTGCTGTTCTCCCCCCCACATCCCCATCCTCGATAAATAAAACCGGATATCTGAGGCTGCAAAACAGTCTATAATGAAAAAAAATTATGAGAGGGTTTCCAGCAGGCCTGTAGAATCCTAGCGCTGGAAAGGGGTCTTAGAGGTCTTCTAGTCCAGCCCAAGAGTCCTTATAACCCCCCTCGGTAGATTGAATTGTCTGTACAGCTGGATGTATTTATTTATTTAGAGAATTTTTTTTACGGCTGCTCCCCTTCAGGGCTAAGGTGCTTTCTAGAGCTAAAAAGTCCTAATGCAATTCTTTTTTAAGATTTCTTCCTCAAGGATTTGGAGAGGAGGGTTTAGTTCCAAAAAACATCCAGATTCTTCTCTTTTTGATCTCGAAGGCCTCTGCCAGAGGATACCTCGGAGGAAGATCTAGAACCTTCCAGTTCAGAACTGAGTCCGGGTAAGGTTCAGGAAAAAAATACTGCCCTTTTGGCATTGTTCTTTTTTCCCCGTGGAGCCTCCATTGCTCAAGGCAGTCTACCCCTAAACCCCTCATGGCGAGAGATTGCCTTACAGTCCGTTCCTTCTTCTGCAGTCGCCTCCAACACCTTGCAGCTCTCCGGCCGGAGACACATGAGGAAGCGCCTCCAGGCCCCTGACCTCAGCGAGGAGTCAGTCAAATCCGGGGAACTCCCCGAAAGCACCCCGGACGGCAGCTTGGACATCAACCTGGACGAGCTGGAGACGCCGTCGGAAAGCGAGTTCCAAGAAGGCCCGGAGAGCGGGCACGAATTCGAGTGGGAAGGTGAGGGTCCCGAGTTCGAGTCTCGAGGGGGGAGCAGGTACTGGGTGCCCCTCCGGCGGAGAGACTGGGTCTCTCTCTTCCTGGTTTTTAATTCCGCCGGGGTTTGAATGCCCGCTTTCCCCCCATCATTCCCAGACGACCTCCCGCGGGCCAGGCGAGTGGAGGCCAACCTGCCCGAGAAATTCTGCTCCGGCCGCGTGGTGGACACGAAGGGTCCCGACGGACGGGTCTGGCGGATCTTCCTGGGGGACGAGCACGAGCGCAAAGTGGATCTGAGCGCCATCGAGCCCTACACGCGGGTGATCTCCCACGGGGGTAAGCTGGGCGGGACGAAGGCGACTTAACTTCGGAACCACCATTCCTGGTTTGTTAAATGGAGTGGGGTGGTGGAACCCTTCGCCTCACCCTCAGGAGTTCTGCGAGTTCAATCCTAGATCCCAGAGGCTGATATTTCTCTCTCTCTCTGAGCTCCATGAGAATGTATCTGCCGAATAGAACTCCGCACTGGCAACAGGAGAGGCATCTGGCCAGTAAATACACAGCTCCGTTCAGCTGCCAAGACTCCACCCCGATGCAAAGGATTATGGGCTCATTAAAAGAGGATGGTTCCTGGTTTGTTAAATGGGGAAGGGGGTTCCCACCCTCTCGAACATGGCTACATGGTGGCCTCATCCCTGCCCTCTTTTCTTTCCCCAGGCTATTGCGGCGAAGGTCTGAATGCGGTTCTGGTCTTTGCTTCTTGTTACTTACCAGAAAGCAGCATCCCCAATTATCCCTACATCATGGAGCACCTGTTCAGGTAATGCCCACCTGTCCCTCTACCTGAGAGAGAGGGGAGAAGAGGGGAAAAGGAACCAGGCGTCCTCATTGTTTTAAATGTGGTTAGTTAGCCCTCGAATGAGTGGAAAGCGAAGTGAAATTAGGGAAATAATCCTTCAGGCTCATTCTCTGGAAACAGGGCTGGTTTTCCAGCTGAGCAGGCAAGTCACAGCGTGCTCTCGCTCTGCCACGGGGCAATGCCCGATTTGTGTGCAAACACTTCTCCTCTGGAGGGGGGGATGTTTGTGTGCCAGCTGCCTCTGCCACAAGTGTGCCATGTGATTGTCTCCTCTCCATGCAGGGAACCTCGGAGAGGAAATTGGGGCAGATCCTGTCTGTTGCTTTATATACAAGGAAGAAAGGCAAAAAGAAAAAAGGAGAGAGATAAAGAGAGAAAGAAAGAGGGTGGGAAGGAAGGGAAGGAAGAAATTAGAGGAGGAGAAATAGAGAAAAGAGAAAGAGAGAGAGAGAAAGATAGATGTGGGAAGGAAGGAAAGTAAGAAAGAGAAAAGAGAAAAGAGAAAGAGAAAGAAAGAAAGAAAGAAAGAAAGAAAGAAAGAAAGAAAGAGAGAGAGAGAGAGAGAGAGAGAGAGAGAGGTGGGAAGGAAGGAAAATAAGAAAGAAAAGAGGAGAAAGAGAAAAAGAGAGAGAAAGATGTGGGAAGGAGGGAAAGTAAGAAAGAGAAAAGAGAAAAAGAGAGAAAGAAAGAAAAAGAGAGAGAGAGGTGGGAAGGAAGGAAAGTAAGAAAGAAAAGAGAGAAAAAGAGAAAGAAAGAAAAAGAGGTGGGAAGGAAAGTAAGAAAGAAAAGAGGAGAAAGAAAAAGAGAGAGGGGGAAAGAAAGATGTGGGAAGGAGGGAAAGTAAGAAAGAAAAGAGAAAGAGAAAAAGAGAAAGAGAAAGAAAGAGGTAGGAAGGAAAGGAAGAAAGAAGAGGAGAAATAGAGAAAAAAGAGAGAAAGAAAGATGTGGGAAGGAAGGAAAGTAAGAAAGAGAAAAGAGAAAAAGAGAAATATAGAAAAAGGGAAAAAGAGAAAGAAAGAAAGAAAAAGAGGTGGGAAGGAAAGTAAGAAAGAAAAGAGGAGAAAGAAAAAGAGAGAGGGGGAAAGAAAGATGTGGGAAGGAGGGAAAGTAAGAAAGAGAAAAGAGAGAAAGAGAAAGAAAAAAGAGAGAGAGGTGGGAAGGAAGGAAAGTAAGAAAGAAAAGAGAAAGAGAAAAAGAGAAAGAGAAAGAAAGAGGTAGGAAGGAAAGGAAGAAAGAAGAGGAGAAATAGAGAAAAAAGAGAGAAAGAAAGATGTGGGAAGGAAGGAAAGTAAGAAAGAGAAAAGAGAAAAAGAGAAATATAGAAAAAGGGAAAAAGAGAAAGAAAGAAAGAAAGAAAAAGAGGTGGGAAGGAAAGTAAGAAAGAAAAGAGGAGAAAGAAAAAGAGAGAGGGGGAAAGAAAGAGGTGGGAAGGAGGGAAGTAAGAAAGAGAAAAGAGAAAAAGAGAGAAAGAAAGAAAAAGAGAGAGAGAGGTGGGAAGGAAGGAAAGTAAGAAAGAAAAGAGAGAAAAAGAGAAAGAGAAAGAAAGAGGTAGGAAGGAAAGGAAGAAAGAAGAAAAGAAGAGGAAAAATAGAGAAAAAAAGAGAGAAAGAAAGATGTGGGAAGGAAGGAAAGTAAGAAAGAGAAAAGAGAAAAAGAAAAAGAGAAAGAGAAAGAAAGAAAGAAAAAGAGGTGGGAAGGAAGGAAAGTAAGAAAGAAAAGAGGAGAAAGAAGAGAAAGAAGAGAGGAGAAAGAAAAAAGAGAAAGGAAAAGGAGGGAAGGAAGGAGAGAGAGAAGAGAAAATTGTACATTCTCCAGCTATTATCTTTCCATCCAGATTGTTCTGGTGCTGTGGGAGAGGATTAAAGTGGATTTTTTTTTCCCCCTAAGCTAAAAGGCAGGAAATGGGACTCTTTCTGTCATCCCCTGCAGGTACATAATGGGAACACTGGAGCTGATGGTGGCCGAGAGTTACATGCTGGTGTGTCTGAATGGCGCCACTTCCCGGAGTCGCTTCCCATCTTTTGCCTGGATCAAGCAGTGTTACCAGACAATCGACCGGCGGTAAGAAGAGCCACCGGGAGCAGCTTCCAAATTAAAACAAAAGCCCATTTCCCCCACCCTGATATATTTCCCTTTCCTCTCTCTCTCTCTCCAGAATTGCCTTCAATCTGATATGGCCTTTTATTCTTTTTTTTAAAGGCGGCTTTTCAAATACTAGATTTCCTTCGTGCCTTTTCACGCCCATTTGCAGAAAGGGAGTTTTAGCCCAGCACAAACCGGGAGCGGGGAAACGTAGCTGGGTTTGGGCATAAATTGCATTTTCAAAGCTGGGCTGTTGTGGCTGAAAGATGCCCCCCCCCCGCCCGGTGTCCCAGGGACATTAAACAGCAGCATTTCTCTCCCCCTCCCCAATACACACACACTTTTAATTCTGAATTCTTCAAGGTGAGGCCTGTAGAAACAGATGTGGAGGGGGTGGTGGTTTTTGCAGCTGCTTTGACATCAAAGGCATTGAATGGCATTCGAGCGCCTGTCTCAGGAATAGAAATATTGGGGTGGGGGGGGACCATTCTGTACACCGGCAGAAATTATTTCTGTTTTCCAAATGGCATCCCCCCACCCACCCCGCTGCCTTTTCCTCCAAGGGACTCAGAGCCCCCGACACAGTGAGGCTGAACGATTCAGGCTGTTATTCTGATATTCTGTGCCAACAGTAAGGCCTATACATTTAATAAACAAACATTTTGATTGTCCCAGGACCGCACACACACACACAGTCGAGACACCTTAGAAAGTATGGTATCTCCAGTTTTACTCCGTTATTTCCTCCCCCCCCCCAAAAGCCCAGGATATCCAGATCCTGTGGCATGGAGTTCCACTGTCCCCTTTCCGTGTTATTTTTTTAGGCTTCGGAAGAATTTGAAATCTTTGGTCATCGTTCACCCCACGTGGTACATCAGAGCCTTGATGACCGTCTTCAAGCCGTTTATCAGGTGGGTGCAAGATGCCAAGACAGGTTATTATAGGGGCACCCCATTATCCGTTAGAAGGATGCCAAGGTTGATTTGAAAAAAAATAGGCTGTTGTTTCGCAGCCACAAAGATGGCAGTGCCAACACAAACTTCACCTCTCTCTTCTTCTTTCCCGCAGCTCCAAATTCAGCCAGAAAGTGAAGTTCGTAGATAGCTTGGATGATCTGGGCCAAATTATCCCCCTTCAACAGATTCACATCCCGGCCTGTGTCCAGCAGTGAGTACGATCTAGGTTTTTTTTGGGGGGGGGCTGTCCAGTTTGTTCCCCTTCTCAAAAGACACTGCCTGGAATGCAAAACTTCTTGCCTTGCAGAGTCAGCCAGAGTGCCCTCTTCACATGCTCTGGGGATATGTTGTGAAATATGGAGACTTCTCTTGAGGGGGCAAAAAAAATCCCCAGCTATGGGAGAAAAAAATCCTAAATTCATGGGAAGGGTCCGCTCAACCGCCAATGGACAGGGGAAGCTCCAGAGGCCCGTCAATCAGGTCCAGCCACCAGGGTTGGGGATGATGGAGGCTGGAGTCCAGCAGCTTCCGTCCCCTTCATCCTCCCTCCAGGAGGGAAATAAATTGCCCATTCTTGATATGACGTTTCAACCTTCTCCGATCTCTTGCCTTTTTTTCCCTCTTTCAGGCTACATCAGTCCCGCAGCAACTCTTGAAGCCCTCCACCCCATAAGAGTCAGACCGGCTGGATGGCCTCTGGGGAACCCTCCCACCCGCTCCGCACTTCCTTCTGTCTTGCTCTTCTTTTTAAAAGGGGGCGCGTCCCTATCCTTCCCATGGCGCACCGCCCCCAAATGCTCAAGATGCAGAGGGAAGACCCCCCCCCAATCTCCCCAGGCAAGGGAGACCCCTTGGCACGTCCCAGGAGGTTGGGGGGTGGGCGAGGCTGCAGCAATAACCAGGGGGAGAGGGCTGGGGGGTCTCCCGCAGCCCCCGGGGGTCGCGGAGACCCCCAAAGCGTCTCAAGGCGAGGGAGGGGCGGGGGTCTCCCCTCCCCAGCCGCCCCTGGCTTAGGAAGGACGCCCCCGGCCCGCCTGGCCCGCCTTTAGCCAGGATGCCCACGGAGCAAGCGGGCGAGGGAGAGGAGTGGGCGTGGGTCCGTGCGCCCCCTCCCCACGCGCGTTCCAGCCGCTCCTTTGTTCCGCGGGCCGGTTGCCTAGCGAGCCCCCTCCGCTGCGGCCCGAGAGCCCGTCCCGGCGAGGACTGAGGGTCCCCGGACGCCCATGGCCCCCGGGCGGCCGCTGGCACTGCTGCTGCTGAGCTGCTGGCTGTGGGCGGCCGAGCTGGCGGAGCCCCCCGAGGACGAAGGGGCGCTGGTCTCGGCGCCCCCCGAGCTGCTGGCCAAGCTGCCCGCCGCTGCCAAGGCCACGGTGGCCGCCGGCTACCTCAACCCGTCGGAGGCGGAGGCGGCCAGCAAGGAGATGCCGCGGCTGCAGGCGACCCCCGTGGGGACCCCGCCGTCGGGCTCCACGCCCGGCGAGACGGTGCTGATCGTGGGCGACACGCGCTACGCCTGGCAGGAGTGGAGCGCCTGGCACTGCAACTGCCCCGCGGGCAGCATGGCCCGCGTGCGCGACATCACCTACGCCGCGCCCGACGTGCGCCTGGATCCCGCGCAGTACGACCTGCTGCGCTTCGAGCGCCTGGTCTGCAGCTACGCCATCTGTGGCTGCGACCGCCGGCGGCGGCAGTGCGACCGGCTGGCCCCCTCCTGCGACCTGGGCCAGATGCACTTCTGCGCCCTGCGCGACATCCAGCGGGACCAGGATGAGAAGCGGCGGCGCTTCTGGGCGAAGGTCAACGGCGGGCTGAAGGCGCTCTGGCGCAGCCTGAAGGCGGCCTTCCCCAGCGACCAGAAGAAGGTGCGGAGGGCTCAGGGGCCGGGGTGGGTGGGGGAGCCAATCCCGATGAGTTCCCCAAAAGCAGAATAAAGGGATAGAGTTAAAATCCAGATGTGGGATGGGTCACCACAAAGTGATTTTCCTCCTGTGCTTTGTAACCCAGAAATCGCCTCTCCTCCATCCAGATAGCTTGGTCCCTGAATTAACCCCATCCTTGACCTCATCCAGAATTGTAATCAAGGGGGCTAAAATCACGAAGAAGCAAACCATCATTTAACCTCTCTCAAATAGTCTCCTGCGGGAGCAGGGGGTTGGACTAGATGACCTCCAAGGTCCCTTCCAACTCTTGTTACTGTCAATTAATTAATGAAGTCCCAGAAGTGCTGTTGCAACCATCTTTTGCTACCCTGAAATTTTTTACGCTCGACAATCAAAAGTCAAAACGTGGTACAATCGTGACCTCCTTTACCTCTGAGAATTAATTTCGGAATATTCCATTTCCTTCTGCCCTTCTGACACCTTCAAGAGTGGAAAAAGGCTTTTCTCCTCTTTAGCTCGGATCTTCCCTCATTTCCCCAAATCTCCCTTTTTATTCTGTTCTTGGTTTCTGGGTGAACCAACTGTGCCCAATTTTATAAATCCCAGATGGCAAATTGCATAGGCCAGGTTCACCCACACACCCCCGGCTCACCCCAACTGAGCAAAATATCCTTACTGGATACCCTTCTGCCTTTCCAAGAAAAATAAAATTGGTTTTTTCTGTCTGTAAAGGATTATAGTAGACCTTAAAGAGAAGAGGTTGAGTCCACTCCTGTCAATCCGTCTTCAAGAAGCGTTTTTGGTTCACTTGTTGAGTCTTCCTGCACCGCCAAGACCAAAAAGCCTGAATATATATATATATATTTTAAACACCCTTGTTGACATTTGAGGGAGAATAGATGCTCTTTCCCCACTAATCTTTGCAATAGTATTCCCCCCCTTCAACTCTCTTGAGACTTGGGGGGAAAAAATTCAGTCATTTCATTCGGTATTTGATGTGCAATTTTTCCTGGGTCAAAAAATACTTGTGCAAGCGAGGTTAACTTTGGAGATAAAAGACAGATAAAAAGAGAGAAATGAGAATGTTTGAACCTTGTCCCCTGAGCAGGGGTTGGGACTAGAACAGTGGTCTCCAATCTTGGCAACTTTAAGACTTGTGGACTTCAACTCCCAGAGTTCCTTAGCCAGCTTTGCTGGCTGAGGAACTCTGGGAGTTGAAGTCCACAGGTCTTAAAGTTGCCAAAGTTGGAGACCTCCAAGGCCCCTTCCATCCAACTCATTCAATTAATCAATCACATTATCCAAGCTGGTGGGAACAGATTTTCTTCTTAACCTCTTTTCTTACGTTTCCAGCTGGAAAAAAAGCACACGAAGAGAAACTACTGACCACAGCTTCAAAAGATGCCGGAGGGGAGCAACAGCCTGACAGCGGCCACATCAAGCCGATACCATTCACGAGACCCCCTGCCCGAATTTCCCCCCCCCTCCATCTCTTACAAAACGAATGAGTTTATTTTCAAGAAATTGGAAGGACGCCTCTCTTTCTCCCCAAAACAAAAAAAAGGAGTTTTAGCTTATCAGGCAAAGAATTTTCCAAAGATATTTTTTCCCCCCTTGTGCTATAAAGACTTAATAAAATGCTGATTCCTGCAGCCGAATTGCTTCTATTGGATCGAAGAGGCATTTGAGACCGTTGGAACTACACTTCCCATCCTCCTGGCCTGCATGGAGGACCTATTCTCATCCAGTCCCTGAAGATGCCTCTTTTTTTTTTGCTCCAAAGAAATAAGCTGTTATATATTCTATGTATTTCACCCTGAAGCCTTTTCCTCTTTTGTCTGGTGTTCATCCCCCTCGCTTGCAAATTTCATTTATTACATTACAGCCAGTGAACAAACAGCTCCTGTTCAGTCCTAAATTTGCTGGTACTTTTTAAAAGCAGCTGAATAAATTCTGAATTATATAGCTAGGAAGGAAATTCTGAATTATATAGCTAGGAAGGAAAGTCACGTTAGTGTTTGCACATTCTCCTGGGCCCCATCTCTGGCCAAGAAGCAAATTTAGGGAAGGATAGTCTGAATTTTTGTTCAAAACGCCTCTCTCAAAGACACTACAAACACCCAAAAATCACGATTCTCCTTTGCCGTTTAATTCTGTCTTTTCCAAGCATACAATACACTCTGTGCAAACAAGGGAGAAACATGCCAGAAATGGATTGCATAATTCTTCTGTTGCATTTAACCTAGAAAACAGGGTGGATATTTTTTTATTTTTTTGCTTAAAAGGAAGACCATGCCAGCAGAATACACAGCTCTGCCTTTCTCCCCAGATTTCACTTGTCTCAATTGCAACATTATATTCAAATAATATATATTTTCTTCCTCCCTTCAGACACATACAAACATGATCATTTTCTTGTTTGCAAAAAAAGATGGTGGTTTTTCTGGCGAATAAAAAGACAGCCGAATAGCCCAGCTATTCTTCCCCACCACCACCAAGCAATCGTTTTTAACCCCAGACCAGCTGGGAATTGGGGTGGTGGTGAATAATAATATACATGCCCCAAGTTCTATTTATGTCTGTGTGCGTGTATTTTTGAAACATCGACCCATCAGCTAAATGTTTGGAGTGGGGGGAAAAAAAAAAGAAAGAAAGATGCTTTTCAGGTAAGTTAAACTACAGATCCCCTCATCCACTGCCAACATGTAGGAAGGCTGGACGTTGCAATCCTAAAGCCCCAAAGATTAGGGGGAAAAAAATTGGTTGCCAAACAGCTGTTCTACTTGGAAATCTAACTTTTGCTTGCTCAGCAGGCACAGGGAAACAAAGGGGAGAAAAATGGAGACGTTTAATTTTACACCTAGTTGTTCTCGCGCCGGTGGGAAAATAAGGGTGGGGGGGAGAGTTTATTGGCTGCTGAAGGTTTTCTCTTCAGAGCCGACCTGCTTGCAAGGAAGACAAGAAACACACATACACAAAATCCCTTTTTCCCAATCCTGCAATCCCTTAATTTGGGGCACGGGGCGACTGGATGGAGCTGAAGACACAACGGAAGAGAGGATTGTGTGGGTTTTGTTGCAGTGAGCATCCACTCGGGATTCCCAGGCTCAGCCGGATGGCGTCATGTGGGCTGCAACTCCAGTTTCAGAAAGAGAAGGAAGAAATCCAACAGCGGGCGGAGAAACCTTCCACAACAACCTCAAGTGCCCAGGATGCTGAAAAAGCTGACCCTGGAATTTGAAATGTATTTTTCTCCTCCTCCAGGCCGTCTAAAAGTCTCGTTTTGGCTCTCGGGGTGCCTCGTTTTTAAAAACCAGGTCTCCCTCGTTGAGCGTGGAGCGCAGGAGAATCGAACCTGGGAAACAAGTATCGGAATCAGGATTTCCACGCTCCACATTTTTAACACAGGTCTGGCTGGAGGAAAGAACCACATAATCCAGGATCAAACAGAGGAGGGACTTTCGGATGAAGGTCAGGCTTCCTCCGGGCCAAACAGTCTCCGTGTGAGATTCTCTCCAGCCCCGTTTTACAAGCTTACAGGGAGATCTGGTTGATCCTGGTTGCAGTTTGGCCCCGGTCCTCGGTTGATCCATCGGCGTTTGGGTGGGAGGCTTCAATCCACGAAGAAAGGGAGCTGAGAGCGAATTCCTCCTGGCTTGCGGGAGTTTGAGCCACGGAGGCCCTCAACTTGTCTCTGGACCCCAGAGACACCTTCGCCACCTTCGCGAGGAGTGGATTTCTCCGGATCCCCATTTTTTGTGCAAAGAACAGAGGGGAGGTCGATTCAGGACCGAAAGTTTTGCGAGGATAAAAGATGCTCAGAGTCACTCCGGACGGCGAGATAGGCAGCAAATAGGTTTGATAAGTGGGCAAAGAACGCCAAATCCAGAATCTGCGACAAACCAGAATGATGATGATGATAATAATAATAATAACAACAAGCATCACAAGCACCGGACTTCTGTTGGCATTTGAACTCTGCTTCCTGGAATTGGCACCCACTGGTTGACAGCAGGAAGGGTGCCCACCCTGTTTTAGCACCCTCGGCCTGGGGGTTTCTGTGAGGAGTCCGGAATGAGATTTCCCATCCTCCCTTTGGAGGGATAATCCTGGCCACCCCAAATGTCTCGCCTCGTGGCCAGGACACACGTCCTTAAAGAATAAAATCCAGTGGAGAAACTTTGGCAAAAACACCATGAATAATTCATCCGGTCTGATGGGTTTTTTTTCCCCGTTTGCGAAGGAACCAAAAACGCATTGATTATTTCTTATCATGGAAGTGTGGCGGATCAATCCCGGTTGAGGAGGCTACTATTCTCTGCAAGGTTTGCCCAGATGGTGCCCGCTCTCCTCGCCAAGGTGTGTGTGTGTCTGTTCTGCCGAGCGAACAGTGCCAGGGAAAAAAAAAAACCAAAACATTCACCTGGGCATGTGCAGAGTGATAGACAATTTTTGTTTTTGCTTTTTTTTTAAAAAGGATAAGTTACGCGGTGATTATTTCGCTCAACGGTTTTGAGTTTGGCAACCCATTTCGACAAGACCGGACAGGAAATTCAAGTGAGGCAGGGATGAGTTTCTTTCTTTTCTTTTTTTCTTTTTTTTCCCTCTGAAGGTTATTTTTGTAATTAATTCTCCTGTAAGACAAGAAGGAAAGAGAGGAGGAGGGGTAAACATGAAAGCTTTTATCCCTCTGCGTTGGCAATAAGGCATAATTATGAAAGGGGAAGAGAGCAACATTTGGACCAGCCTCACAGGGAGCTGCTCCGAAGCACCATGAGGATTTAAAAGATCTGGATTGGATCAAAATGGATCCCTAAAAATATAGCAATAGCAATTAGACTTATATACCGCTTCATAGGGCTTTCAGCCCTCTCTAAGCGGTTTACAGTCAGCATATCGCCCCCAACAACAATCCGGGTCCTCATTTCACCCACCTCGGAAGGATGGAAGGCTGAGTCAACCCTGAGCCGGTGAGATATGAACCGCCGAACTGTCAGCTGAAGTAGCCTGCAGTACTGCACCCTAACCACTGCGCCACCTCGG